CGCCCCCCTTTCCCCCCCTTATCCCTTCCTCTGTGCCTCACACGAATACCGAGTTCATGTGACTGAAATTTCAGAAGCCTTCGAGCAGGCCATCATTGGCTCTGGAACAAGTGCGGGTAGGCGATGTGAGCGTGCTTACTTATGAGGGGTTTGCGAGGGTATTACCACTATTGGCTCGTAGCGTGAGAACCTTCACGCTGGCTAGAATTTTATATGAGCGGTAAATGTCTGAGGCCAAACCACATAAACTAACAACAGCTGAACAAAGTGTGTACCATTCTCTTTTTATCCAGCTCCATAGGTCACTCGTAGTTTCCTTGGAGAAAAATCTCTTAAAAGCATCCCTGAGTGTGTTGATTTGATCCTCACTGTCCACAGTGACGCACAAACCATACGTGTCGCAGTAACCTTGGTGACGCTTGCAAGTGCTGCCGGGACGTTTAACGATGACTCGACCCAGGAAATGCTGAACGGATATGCAAACTCCCTAAGAGTCACACAGAAAAATGCAATATTAAGGTTGCTTGTAACATTTGTAGTAGAAGTCTGAGAGCAGGATCAGTATTATAACAACGTTGTTCCTTACATAACTGCTGTTACAGCAGACATGGCACATTTCTTCTCTGTTCTGATGACATTCACACTCGTTGGTCCCATACAGTTCACATATTGAACCAATACAAGCACCCTCCTGACACGTGTTCGACCCTGCATTGCATGTTACATTGTAAGGTTTTAACTCAGCCTGGGGACAACGCCCATTCTGACCAGTAGGAGAAGTTGAAGAACATAACTCTTTATATCCTGACATCAATATATATATTCTTCATACTGTTATTCCTAAATTTTCTATGAGACTAACTTAACAATCAAGAGTTTCTTTTATATTGTTCTTTTATGTTAATTGGTTTATTCAGCTGTGAGATACTGTGAGGGGAAACTGGGTGCTAGTCACTCCGTGAGGTTATAGGGTTAAGGAGAAGCATACTCAAGAAACAATTTGATTTTGATCTTTTCTATTTAAAGTCATCCGTAGAAGAGGGAAACTTTGTTACGTCAAAGCTAAGCGGCCAGGTTGCTAAGTGAGATTTAAAACGGCGGCGTTCATGTCCGAATTCTTAGCGCACGTTTTAGACAGTTTTTGAGAGAAGTTAGGTTACTGCTTGAATCTCATGACGCGCACGATATCACCATTTCTTATGTTCTTAATGGCGGAGAGGAAAAATGATTCAGTTTTAGAGTGTACTTGTCCTGTCATTAGAAATTTTTGTCCTTGCTCATTGCTCATTAACATTTGGAGCAAAAATTGGTGATTGAAAATTACTGGTGAATGGATTGTAATCACGGTGAATAGGATCTTTTTTAAAAAACTCTTGTCTAAAGTATGACTTTTAGCATAACTAATGGCATTGATCAATTTTGATGAGAGTGAGTCGTTCATTAATTATTAATCCAACCTAATTTAATCAAAGGATATTCGCAAATAGAAATTTTACTGCATTCTGTTTCGGCTTGACAAACGAGTCCTTGAGATGCTGAGACAAAAGTACAATCCTCTGTGCAACATTTTCCTGCCACGTTACTGAAACATAAACAACAATTAACGTAAAACTCAAAAATTCGTAAACCCTAGAAAAACTCGTGAAATGTTGTTGTGTTTCTAAATTCAAAAGACAACCAGGCGTAAGAAAACCAAACTGCAAACAATAATGTTGATTAGTTTGTGATTTTGAGGTTTGCCGGCGTTTCCTGAACTTTTGGTGACTGATGTGTCAGAATCAAATCCGGAGGCGTTCACGGTTTTCTGAGTTTCCTAGTAATAACTTGCTGAGATGGCAGTTCTGCTCCTCCCAGTTCCGTCTTTTCGTAAAACAATTTTCGTTACTGGGATAATCTTCTCCTTCTTTGAAACTATCACATTTGTATTTAAGACTTACGTGTACGGCTCTTAAAAAATAGTTATTGTCCGTAAATGAATTGTTTAAAAATTTCGCTGTGTACCTGGGTGGCTTAAATTTTTTCATCCATGGCTCAAAGAAGAGATAGCAAACGAAGTCTATTCGTCATGATAACGTTATACGAACAGGTTACCACATGACACATACCTACACTGTTTCCCCGGCTGGATTGTACATCCAGGTACTTTCAAGGCGTCATTTCGTGCCACACAACACTTGTCGACTATGGAACATTCTTCTGGACTTCCACAGTCACAATCTTCATTCTCTTCTACGATTTTATTGCCACAATACGACCCGTTATTATGAGCTTGAAAACAAAACATGAAGATTTACTTAGGCCTGCCAGTAGCATGAAAATAATTTAACCGGGATTAACCCTCCAGTGGTTTTATGGCGCTCTCTTATCAAGTCACGAAAGAGTGGGTTGTTATCACTTATAACTATCACTTTGTGTCAGTACCCTTAAAGACTGCTCTCCGTTCCCTTCTCTTTTTCCTTCTTCCTCTCCCTTAACCCCCCCCCCCCCCCCCCCCCTTCAGTGGCATACTGTCGATAGAATATTCTGGCAAAAAGATGACGTAACATTTTTCGAGCTTGAAATGTGCATGCGTGACAGGCGAAACAGAAACAAATGCCCTCAAGGACGAAGGACTGTAAGTTTAATCCCAGCATTTCAAAGGCTAAACTGATTTTCAATTTGATTCCGCGACAAGTTTTTCTTGACTTAGAAAGCTCACCGATAAAACATTGTGGTCCTCTAAAAGAGATAATAGAAGATATATCGTGCTTGCTACAGGAAGAGAACAGATAATTGTTGGGTTCATTTCCGTCGGTTGCTTTTGGATACATGATGAAGTTACCCGCTCTTCCTCCTGGGGAGCATTGGGCCGTAGCTGGATCATGCTATGGAAAATAAAATTCAAGACCAACATGGGAATAAATCTCTTATTCAGATAAAAATGCAGCCGCTTACCTTAGAGTGACAGACCTCTCACCTGTTGGTGGATGAGACAAACTCCTGATCGAGAGGTCCTGGTGCGAGTCCTGGTCGGGGTGATTACACTTCGTTCGTGCTTGAGTGCCCCTTGTCTACATGGTCTACCCAAGGTCATATGCAATCAAAAAAGCGTCCAGGAAAATCCTAAAAATTTGAATTCATATTTACCTCAGATCCAAAGCCGTGACCCAATTCGTGCGCTACTGTAATAACTGAGGCCTTCCTCGGTACTCGAGCTCCATAGTTTAATAGCGTTACTACTGCTGTATTTAGGTACATTGCCTCTTCTTTTTCATCAAAGAACATCCTCGTGGAGCATATACCTCCGGAGCTCATGTGATCAGAGTCCGCAATCCACGCTAGCCCCAGAGCCCCGCCGGGGAAGTCTCTGTTTGTGAAGAGCAAAGCTAAGCAGTAGTCGTCATGATCAATCTCGCTCCATTTGATAAGGTATGACATCATACTGATATCTTCTGGGCTTTCCAAGGAACCTGCAACAGTCACGGATATTTTAAAATTGACAGAAAGTGTGAGAAGAGGACCGATGATAATTAAAGAAGAGAAACTCAGCCTTTCAGGAAACGAGCCACCTGAATGAACAACTAAGGAGGGAAAGCAAATGATGTCTGCCCCTGGTTTTCCAACTTCCAATTTTGTCACTCGCCTCACTTTTACAAAGGCGAGCTCAGTGCTGTTAGGGTTTCAGCGCGAATTCTTTCCCCTAAATCTGTATAAAAATATGAGTGTTTGAAACTGGAAATGCAGGAAATGAGAGCTCACCTTTAACATTTGTCACGTGATTGAAACTGTTTCGATGAATGGGCATTAGAGTGAGGCAGTTTGGAACACCGCAAAATTCGCCAGATTTTTCAAATCAAACGGAGTAAAGGTATTCTCTTTGATAAAATGTCATCAAGGTAGATTTTAGACTCAAAGTACTATTATCACCTTCCGCTTGCGCATCTTTAAACACAGTGACAGCGGCTACGACAAATCCAATTCCATCTCCAGGCCCGCCATCTTGGTTGAAGTCTGTTCCCCTGAATATCTTATCAGCCATTGCCACGTGATACACCATCTCTGCAACTGTGACTCTTTCAGAACCCGAGCCCACTTCCTTAAAGAATATATGGTCTGCGGCAAGGTAAACAGTACATGTGTTGAGATTGGAGCTACTGGGGTCGCTGTGGCGAACTCGTTTACTGGTAATCTGTAACATAAACGAATTTGAGAAAAACTGGTGATTGCTCAATACTGGGGATAATTTATTCTAACGAAATAGTGTCGATGCGATTGTTTCATATTTATATATCTATCTCACCTGGCTCTTCAATTTTTTAAGATCTTTAAAGCGGGCCATTTTTCTTTCGATTTTGGAGAAATTAAACTTGACACTTGTGGCGGGGAAAATGATTGAATGAAAGGATGTCTTGAAGTGAGTATACCGTTCGATAGGCTCCAAATGAAAAGTTTCACCAAATGCAAAGAAACTTCCATCAAATCGTCCGTTTATCAAGTGACCCATGACAAAGGAATTCGCATCTCCTAAATAGAGGAGAAAAAAGAAGTCAGAAAAACAACCTATAACTATATAATAGCATCTGTGAATTCTTGCAAGTTATTTGACAATATAACCGAGTTTGCCGTATCAGAAACTGTAATATTGCCAACCGACAACCCAGCAATTAAACGCTTTATTTCATGCTCTGAAAATAGCCTATATCAATATTTTTCATAACAAAATATGACACTTTTTGCAAATCACGTCACAAAAGAGAAAAATATATTCCTAAAGATTTTTTCCGTTACGAAAGAGTATGCACACTGAATTGTTACCTTTCACGGTTCCAGTGTAAGCCGTCCTTGGATCGTAATCACTTGTGCGCTCTGAGCTCTGCGTCAGGACTCGAAACTTCGCAGTCTTTGTGAACAATCTCTGATGTTGATTAAGCGATAGCTGGAAGTTTCTTTGGATGGAAATTTAGTTGCAAAAACAAACTTTCATGACCAGAGAGTGCCTAAGTTAATAGAAATATCGTAAACTTTGAAAGACTCGTGAACAAGAATTCAATTATATTAAGAGTTGGTGTTTGTTTTAGACTGCAAAGTGCAGCATCTCCGTTTGTTTACAAATAGATATAAACTTTTACTTTGTAAGAATTACGATATGATACCTCTGAAACGCCCAGAAGTTGATTGCGACGGCAGAATTTTTCGAGGAATTTAGCACCTCTAGGTGCTGTTTATGCACATCAGTTGCATCGTAATCTATGGCTTCGTAATATCTGACATTTTGAGCGATGATCTCTGTTAAGGACAATAAAAACTGAAAGTTAATGTTTTTGTGACAAGCTCCCGACTTATACGCCGAAAACTTATACCTTTGAACATTTTGGAGATCGATCATTAAATTATTCAGAGAAAGAGGACAGAAAGCCAGCTGGAAAAAAAAGTTAGGGCTTTTGAAAAAAGATAGAGGAAAAAGAACTTAGAAATGATCTTTAATTAGTTGTTGTAATAGATTGAGCACAATTTTCAAAACAAGTTATTTTCCTGGATTCATTTTCACAATCGCGTACCTTTGACGTAAGCATCTTGGATTCCTGTTGCTGAAGAGACTAAAATTAAGTTTAAAATCCAACAGGAAGCAGTCAATTGTAATTTGTTGTCGAACATGGACATTTTTTTGTATGCACTGGATCTGATTTTTCAACCGACTCGTTGTTTGTTCTGTGCGTTTTCTTTAGTCGATAAAGAATCTCGGCAAACGATCGACAAGAGATTGGAGAGGAGGCCAGCAGTCAGTCAACGGAAGTCAGCGGACATAAGCAATTACTTGTGAGTGGTTCCAAAGCAATATGGTGGAGGTAGATAGAGATTATATTTTCCTAACCCTTGATCACGAATCTTTCCTCATAGATCAGGTGGATGACACGAAAAAAAAGTTCGTTGCAGAAGGTCTTTGTTTCTTTGTAATGCGTTTAATATGTAACTCATGTCTATGAATGTATTTTCTGATTTTGTTGGTATTTACACAGCCATCGGCTGTGAATGTAACTACTGCCATTTATGTAGATTCTTAGGCAAGACTGCAGTTTCGATTCTTTCTGAATCTCGTCAGTTGCCTCCTAAGAGCGAATTCATCACGGAGGAATGACAGGAGTCGCGCAGGCCCGTAAACGCTTTTTACTTTCGAAAGAACGGCAGGAGACAGTGAATCCTCATCAGATTCCACTTATAATCACCCCACCTCGCTGCCAACAAAGATGTTCACTCGACCGCGACATGATACAAATGACTCACTTTTTGTATTACTTTTTGTATCATAGATCTACTCAGAAATTATCACATCTTCAACCCGGCTAACATATGGTCCGGTGCATCCTTCATTGTAAGTTGGATGACTCTGTGAAATGTGGAGCAGTAGTTACTGTTTGTAGTTCCTACCTATAAAACCCATGGCGGAGAAAAAAGACTGGAGCAAGTTATCGACAAAGGAGCTGTTGGAAATGCTACAAAGACAAGAAAAGCTTGTCAATAAGTGGGTCTTCCATTTCCTCCCATTTCCCAGAATTTTAAATGCATGGTCATAGACTTTCCACCTAAATGGCTCATTATTTTCATCTATTTGTACTTGCAATTTTAATACAGGAAGTTCTTGCAAAGCCTACCTGACAAAGGCAAGAAGATAATCGAGACAGTCAAACGACTCAAGGATCTGATTTCTCAGAGGGAAAAGTTAGAACTTCAAGATATCGATGCACAGTTTGAGAAGTTGACAGTGTCACAGCCTGTCCAAAAAACAAGAGTTGATTTGTTAGACAGTGATGATAGTGATGATAATGATAGAATACTGTCAGGCTCTGATCATCAAGACACTGCTAATGTAAATAAGCAATCAAGTGGGAGTCAACATGAGGAAGCAATGGATTCAAAGTCTTCAAGTGGAAGAACATGGGATTACAAGTCAGCTGCAACACCTGCAACATATAAGTTTGAGGTAACAGGAAGACCCTGCCTTCTTTTATTGCACTGAGATTGACATGTGTTCTAGAGGCAATTATACACAGGCTGAAGATGAGCTGTTGCTGTATGTGTCTCACTTCTTTGATTAAACAGGCCAAGGATAGCTATAGGAAAGGAAGGGTCTGGAAAGGGTATTTACCCATGTTTAGATGCAGGGGTGTCACTGAGGCTCAGAATGAAACTTATTCTTTTTTTTTGTTTCAAAAAATTCTTGAACTTGTGTGGGGCAAAAAGGGAGATCCATAAAATGAATATTTGTTCAGATAATACTAAAAATCTAATGTGCAGTTCCTATTCCTCATTCTAAAAGTTCTTTTTCTGCAGATAGCGAAGCCAATTTCATTAGAAGAATCCTTTAAACTTCAACAAGAACAAGAGAAAAGACGAAAGGTGTGAATTACACACACAAGAACACATGCGTTACTAGCACACAATCAGGTTTCATTTTAGACTCTACCTTGAGTGTATCATGACAATATTGTAGCAGTATAACTAAACTCGCATTTCCAAATCAAATATTTCAATCAACTAATCTGAGGTAAATACTAACTAAAGGCTTTTTAGAAGGGGCTAAATGAACCAAGTGTGAACTCAGCATGTAACACGTAGTTGAAATTTGGTGGGCATAATGGTTATAAGTATAAATCTACAAATGTTCCATTACAAATGCTGTAGCCTGATAGGTTATGTTACTGGCAGTCTATTCTGTGATTCATAGATAACCTAACGTAGTCTGCTCATAAACAAAAACATGCACAAAAGCACAAGCTTGTCTTGGTTCAAAGTTTTGAAGGATCAGTTGATTTATACTGAAACAGTTCTATTACTTGCTCTTAATTTCTGTGATGGTTTATCCTGACTCTTCCCTCATCTACTACAGTGAAATAGAAATGTCAAGCTCATGATCAAATTGATAAATAGAAGCCTAAAGCTTACAACCTTTAGTTAAATATTCTGAACTCTGAAATGAAAATTATTCTGCCATTACCCAATAATGTTTGCTTATTTGTAGGATCTTCAAGCTCAACAAGCAACAATGAAGCTTAGAGAACAAAGCTATCAGGTTGGAACATACCACTCAATGCAAGTTTCAAATCCTCTTCAGTATCCTTTATTGCTGCTTCTTTCAACATGACAGGAAAAATTTGGTGTTAAATTTAATTACTGTACACACAAATTAATTATCAGGAGATGCCAGGGGATGTGTAAAAGAAGCAGATTCTTGTTACTCAGAAGCTCCTTAGGGAAAAACTGAGTAACAGGTTGTTTGTGTTCCTTTACAAATTACAGTCAATCAGGTTTGAAGCCCTTGTGAATATGAGTTTTCACACTTAAATTTAAAGAATTACATGTTGTTGAAAAGCATGTGAAACACTATTTGAAAGGGATCTCATTTATTACATGCTCTTCAAATGCTTTTCATATGCATTTCATATGCATCATTATGACATTTTGATGTAAAATAAGTGTGGAAGCTGTTTGAGGACTGTGCCTAGACTCTACCATTTGGAGGGCCTAAGTACTTTCAGATATGCCTCCTGTTTTCCTACTTTTAAAATAGGTCTTGAAGGCATTAATCTTGCTTGCACAGACAGAACACTGCTGAGCTTGAATTGCTCAACTTGGATTGTTTCATTTAAATACAGGATAGACATTATTTGTACATGTTAAATATCTTTCAAAATCTTAACTATATGTACAAGATATCAAGAAACAGTTCTGGAGAATCACTCAAGTGATGACAGTGACCCTGAAGAATATAATGCAAGGCCCTTTAAAATGGACAGTGAGGATGATGGTGACTAAAGAAACCATAGAAAACTATGTATCACTGTAAGCTTATAAAGTATATATTATGTAAATAACAATTTTTTTTTTACAGATTTTGTTTTGGTAGTTATTTACTTTGCTGAATTACCAGCAAAACAAACTGTACAGCATCACTCAGTAGACAGTAAGCTAACAAAGCTTTTTTCGATATTTGTATTGGTTCCTGAGAAAATCTATCTAAGGCAAAATATGCAAATCAAGATCCCAGATGAAAGCCCACAGCTAAAATCAACACTCTGCTGGAGGCCTTTCCAATAGTAACACCTTTTGCTCTTTGAACAGGTTCCCCTAGAACATTCTTCCAGGCATATATTGCATTATTTTTAAGATGTCACATTTTTTCAGAAAATTAAACTTCACTACTTCCTCTTACTAAAGAGCAAAAATTTTCTTTCCTGTACACAGGCATAAGAAATTTTTAGGTCTTTGAATAGAATTCCTGAAAAGTCAAATGGTCTCCAAGTTTGTTAAAGTTCACATGCTCATGGCACCACTTCTTGTCATGTTCCCAGAATCAGCTTCTGTTTCTGGTATTGCTTTTACTTCCATACTTGGTTCCTCTATCTTTGTGCTTGATGGTGGCTTTCTGATTGGCTTTTTACTGTTTCCAGCAATTATTAGACTTCCAGGAACATTTACATAAAGACGTACCCTGAACAAATTCATAAAAAACAAGCTTACATAATGGATGCAGTGAATGGAACAACTGTCACAGATAGAGTAACCACATAGAAAGAGAATTAAACAAAAAACATGAAACATTTAACTAAATGACATGTTAACCCTTAACCCCCAACATCTGATTGTTAATTCTCCCCTAAAGCTGCTCGACATTTCCTTGTAAATTAGTTACAAGAGTTTGGTGTTAGATCAAGATAACAACTTTTACTTGATAAGAGTGTTCTCATTACTTGTTTGCTAGATAATGTATGGACTTCATACTAAGGGAAAAGTTACATGTTAATCACTTTTGGGAGTTAAAGGGTTAAATAACTCTCTTTGAAATAATGGCACTTATTAAGTTCTGTTATCAATAATAATTGAGTTTATCAGCTTATGTTAACAGCAATGTTTTTTTTTTTGTTACCTGAGAGCTGTAGGAAACATACAAAAAATATCATAAAAGGTTTAGCATCACAGTGATATTTATTAGAAGTAACGTTTACATATTTATAATTTCATTAAATTTTAATTTAAAAAACTACTACCTTAGTTTGTGGTATTAGTGAACTTGTACATATACTTTGTTTGATTACCTGCTTTGTGTTCATCTCATGAACTTTACTTGAAAAATAAAATACACTCAAATGAGGCAGATATTTTATATGTTATGCAAAAGAAAAATTAGGAAATAAGGATTGCAATTTAATGAAATTTTGGCATAATGCAGGTTAAAAATTACTTTAAAATTAGCAAGCAAATTCATGATGAGTAACAAGAGAGCAATTAATTATGATTACAAAACAATATTAAAATATTGATAAAAATTACTTTAACTGCATTCAAAAAGAAGAAGCTGTAAGATGGCTCTCCTAGATAGTAAAGGGTAGTCATTAGTCGAGTGTTCATGGGAATTAATAAGACCATATACTAACAAAGAGGTTGATCGCGAGATCAGACAAATGCAGGTTTTCCTTTCTTGTTAAATTGAGAAACAGAAGGAGACACAAGTGTGTCTACATTGGGACACTGGTACTCATCTTTCACCCTAGGCACAAAAAATGAAGAAAAATCGAAGAGGTTTAATCATTTTTTTTTTTAAGTTCATTTTTTTATCTGTTCTTAAAGAAAAATTATTTTGATTTAGATCAATTTTAGTTAGGACCAATATAAAAAAGGATTGGATTTACATAAATCATACAGTTTAGTATTAAAATTATATTGAATTTCTTTCAAATTAACTTTTATTTGCATGTAATAGATTTTTATTCATAATTAACCAACACTCGAGAAGAAAATTCCACATAAAATTACTTCAAAAAGGTTTTTGACTGAAAAAGATGACTAGAGAATATCAACAGAAGAGAGACAACCCTTCTAGAGAGGGGACATCATACCGTCTAAGCCTTGCATTTAAATGAGAGAGGCAGTATTAGTCACTGTTATACACTTGCACATCATTGTGATTTGTAATTTTCAATACACCTAAGATACCACACCTGTCTTTCAGCTCTTCAACAAGATATGCAAACTTTCTGTACTGCAATGCACCAAATTCCTTAAAGATAAGACAAATTAACATTTTACTCAACACTATGCTACTTAAGTAGATCTAGTTTAATCCATGATGGTAATTCCACTGGTCATCAAGCTTCAAAAACAATTTTAAATTACCATATGCTGACTTGTGTTACTTTTTTTCTCCAGCAATCCAAATTATG